TTGAAAAATATGGTGTTAATATGGAAAACCGTTTTCGAAAAGTCGATGAACTAGCTCCAAAATTACACCTAGTAAACAAGAAAAAAATATTTTAAATGAGAATATTAATTTTCGGGACAGCATAAAGTGGACTTTTTTATATTGTGTCGTTAGAATTTCATTTATAAATGTTTTGTTAAACTTGAAATATTTTTATAAAGCAATAGTTATCACAAAGTTTATATTAGAAAATAAAGCTTGTTTTTTGGTACATAACACTTTTATCAATTTTTTAATAATATAAACTAATGCATTATAGTGGATGAAGGGGTCCTGTACATTTGATCGTTAAAAAATCTATAAAAAAACATAATTACCTAAGTTTTCTTATAACAAGGAAACAATATTCACATAGGCCTTTATATATCATGTGATTTTTTTTACCAAAAACAAATTGGAAAAAAGTACCAGCAGATTATATCCACTCACCCCTTTAATTTTGGTGAATCTTTTGCATATAAAATAAAATAATTATAAAACATTTATTTGTGACGAATGAAACACTAGATTTTTCAATAAACTTCTATTTGAATTTAATTAAGTGCTGATTTACAGAACATTTAATTGCATTCAAATTTTAAATCTCGATTTATTTGGCATATAGTAAGTGCCAATTTAATTTAATTTAAAATAATTAATATGAATGGTAAATAATATAATATTATAATTTGACTAATGCAAATGCAAAAACTGTCATTTTTTCTTAGATTTTGACACTGATGACAATTGGTCTCAATCACACAATAATTTTATAACGCTTGACAGTGTACCAAATTAAAAAAAAATTACAATACTCAGTTTTTTATTAGATAAATAACATTTTATTTTGCAAACGTCATAATTTTCTTTTATTTACTTTAAGGTATTTAGTGTCAAAACATTTTTACATGTAAAAAATAAAAAAACAATTTAGAAAAACAAATTTTCTTCGGAATATTGATTAAAACTGTGGTAGTAAAATTGTAAAAGCAGTTTTTAATTTTTTAATCATAAAATAAAAATGGAGTTGCCGATTTGTTCTTACAAAGTAGTAATTACGGGAGTGGCAAATTATTATTATTGACCCCTGTAATCGGACCAATAAATTAACAAATGTGTCCAGCCAATCAGATTCAAAATTTGCTTATATTTGAAAAGAATAACAATGCAGTAGTAACTTTTTTTTTTAATTTTAATGACCACAAATCACACATAGAAATGACAATTGATAAACACTGTTGCTACTACGAGAAAGATGATTTTTTTTGGTCACAGATTTTATTTAATTTCTTATCAAAAATGTGGTTTCAAATGACAAAAACTGAAGCTAAAAAGTTAAAATAATTGTCAAGAAAATTCGTAAAATAAATATAAAAATACTTTCAATAAATATCACACTGTTTGTGAATACAAAATAATAAAATACGCTCAATTTCTTTAATATTTTTAATTAGAATACACTTCGAATTTTGGTCGCAGTTATTTCATAAATAAAAGTTAAAATAGCCATTGACAGTCCGATTGCTAAAATAATAAAACCCGATTGCACATCATGTAAAGAAAAAGGTTTTAAAGCACTGTCATCCCCCGAATACCGAAATTTGAAACTTGTTGTAACACTTGCAGCAATATCATTGTACCACTTTTCCACCAATCCACTTTCAAAAAAAGTCATAATGAAAAAATTAAACTGTGGAAGATAAGGGGACCCTTGAGGTACCATAAACGACAAGTAATATGAAATTACCGCTTCTCGCGATATGTGCAAGAGAGGATTACCCTCGTCATCGACATAAATCAATGTTAACAAATTTGCATCTTTTCCTCGTTCTAGAGCTACAACATTTCTTCCAAAAGCTGCTTGTTTCATCGACACGCGATATTTATTTGTAACTTTTTCGTGCAAGTTTTTGATCAAACTCGAATTACCATAATTGTGAAAAACAGGCAACGATGTTGAAATATCAAGTCCAGACTTATCGAGTTCTTCCAAACTGTTGATATCGGAATAATAAGACTTCGTGCTAAAGTAAGTCACTAAATTGCCTTGCAATATGAAAATCGGGATGGTATTTAACAGTAAACACGATGCTAAGAATAGATTTTTATCCTTGATTTTGTGAATTTTGTCTGAGTCAAAGATCAGAATCAGAAACGTGTCAATTATCGTGTTTTTTGCCACAACTAGAAAACAAAATACCAAAGAAATGCCACTTGTGAGTATGAAAAATACCCAAGTTTGCCATTGGAAACATTTGAATATGGCGAGCCATTGAGGAATTCTTTCGGCTTTTGGCGCTATCACTCGTATTTCATCGTGGAAATAGACCCGAGTGTATTCGAAATTTCCATTTTCGTGGTGTGTTACAAACATTCCATTTGCAACCAAATCAATCAAATCGTAAACAACATATCCTAAAGATCCAGTCACCCAACCTTTCTTCACAGTTTTTCCAAAATTTCTCTGCTTTTTGTTTATCAGTGTCACACTGAAATTCATTTGTTTGGCCATTTCGCCCAAAACATCGCCATCAATGCCTGTAAAACCGCTGTATTTGTACAGTTTAGTGTGAATGGGGTCGTGTCTCATATTTTGGGGAATTTCGTTCAAAGCAGTTGGGAATCTGAAAAGGGCTTTCACTCTTAGTGGGTACTGTTCCAAGTTTCGTAAATCGTTCAAAATATTCATTTTTGTAATTTTATACACGTTGATGATACCCCATGAAAGTGAGTTTTTCTTAAATGGTCTGTAAATGTACAAATCTGGGCTTTTCATAATATACAAAACGGCATTAAGGACGTGAAATTTGGTCCACAACCTTAGAAATAATTTTCTCAAAATTTTCTCAAAATCAATTATTTGGTCTTGTAGCAGGAAAATTGTGTACAAGGCCCGTTTTTGTAAACACAAATTGTAGGAGCCGTTTAAAAACGTTAAAATTTCATCGAAGGACACAGAAAAAATTACACAACCATGGTCGAAATCGGGAAAAATTTTTTTTCCTACATTGGGTTTTTCTCGAATAATTTGGGGTTTACCATCTGATGTGAAATTATAATCCAGGACAAAAGTTTCCTTTAGGTAGTTTTCGAATTCGGGATCTGGTTTCACGTCACAGTTATTTAAATTTTTGGTTTTCACACTTATCGCAATGGAAACGAAGATTTTTTCGATAAATTTATTACAGAAATTGTGCGATTTTTTATTTACCAGTATAAGTTCGGCCGATTTTATTTTTGAAAAATACTGGGAATAGAATCCAACTAAATCTGGTGTAAACAA